TATATATATATATATATATATATATATATGTATATCTTGAGGATTTTTTGTTCGACGTTGAAACATATTGAAATGAATAAAACAGCCAATGCGTCGAATGTAAAGAATTTATTTTAATTTTTTATACGTTTATATAAAGAAAAAAATGTAGACCTTAGAAGATTTTCTGAATCATGTTTTATCTATTTAAATTCAAATTGTGTGAACAAACGCAGTTCTTCTTGCTTACTCTCAGAAAGTTATCAAAATATAATTAATTTCTGTAAATCTGACTCTCTACTACGCCCCTGATATCCCCACTGTTCCTTGCTCGCGTTCTGGCGTTGCATAGCAAATAAGTCAAACCGTGTCGCTATGCTATCGGTTAAAAACAAAATATGTGTTTCATACAATTTTACTTTTACCTTTTTTGGTCTTTTCTTAAATTATTTTTGCTTTCCTACAGTAGTAATATGTGATTGTGGTGTTGAATAATGTGTTAATTAGTGTGGTTTTTCCTGATCTGGTGTGTATAATTGTTGTTTTCAATTAATTTTTCCAATATAAATTCATTTTTTAAAACTTTTTCTTTATAATGTAAATTTCTTTTAGCTGAATGATGAGACACATCTAGTCTCGAAACGTATAAAAAATTAAAATAAATTCTTTACATTCGACGCATTGGCTGTTTTATTCATTTCAATATATGTATATATATATATATATTAGAGCGGGTCGATTTGTATGGTCGCTTAGACACACATGATTTTCGGATACTAGGGATCAAAATAAGATACTTTACTGAAGAAAACACATCTCTAAATAAATTCTGATGTCTCGTGCATTGACCCAAAGATAAGGGATGAAATTTGAAAAGTTCCATATTGACCCATTTAGAGTGTCCCAATCGCGTCCAAATGTATGACCGACCCCTACTAACTTTAGAAAGCCAATCCACCCATGCCCGTGGTTCACCCCCTGAGACCCCCCCTGAGAGGTTATTCTACATTTAACCCTTATTTTTGGGTCAATACACGGGACATCAGAAATCATTTCAGAGGTAAGGTTTCTTTGGCAAAGTATCTTATTTTGATCCCTAGAATCCAAAAATCATGTGCCTAAGTCACCTTTAAATCGAACATTGGCTGTTTTATTCATTTCAATATGTTTCAACGTCGAATAAAAAATCCTCAAGATATATATATATATATATATATATATATATATATATATATATGTATATTTGTAAATTTTTTTGCAGCCCAACCGTCGAATTAAAAAATGATTAATAACAAAATTATTTATTCCATTATACGTTTCGACACTTGATGTGTGTCATCATTCAGTAATCTAAAAAAACATTTAACATAAATACACAAATGATGAAAAATATTAATATAAAAAGGAGGAAATTATACATACCAAACCAGGAAAAAACAGGAAACATTAGTTATGATGTAAAAATTGATATTAACACTAAATTTGTGTAAAATAATAAAATACAATTAATTAACAAACGAGAAATAGGAGGAGCACATATTGCCCTCCTATATTTAATGTTATGGTAGCATAGCGTTGTGTGTACTATCAAGGTTAAAAGTACAACGCAGCGCAGTGTAGGCCACGCGCGCGTATGGGAGTGGGAGGAGTAGCAAGAACGAAAGGGGAAAGAAAAACAGAGAAGAAATATAACGAATGAAAGATTCTAAAACTGTATTGAATTACTTTTCATGAAATTAATAATTACTATGTAACTATCATGTAAGAGATGAGAGGAATTACGTTTGTTTACACAAGACGTATTAAGGGATATAAGTAAAGACTCAACTATCTTTCTAAGGTCATTGTTTTTTTCAATGTAAGGGATTGAGGGATATATATATATATATATATATATATACACACAGTATCGGACTGAGAATATTATATTGTATTTACTGAGAATATTATATTATTGAAAACTTGATGAGAAGAAACGCATGAAATAATATATAAATTTTAGTTTATATATTATTAGATTACTATATAGTTAGATTCGAGACAAAATACCGACCAAATACAAAATAACTGAACTATGAATCAGTGAAAGGGATAAAAATAATTTAAACTAATATAAAAATGTGTGACATTGTAAAACAAAAATCTACGTTTAAACTGTAGTATATACCTCTAATTAATTAATAATATATTGACGATATATTGACAACTAAACTAGTTCTTGTCAATTTAAATCGTGACCAAATTAGTTACACATCCAAAAAATTAATATACGATACGGAACCCAAATAATTTACTCAAAATGTATTCTTATTGTTAAAATCTCTATAACATATCTTGTAATTTGATATGCACATGTCCAATGATAAGTTTGACCACCAAATGACCAAATTTTTTTTAACTTTCTGGATTTCCGAAACCGCTAGACGTGCCTCCAGCATGTTGAAATTTAGTCAGTTAGTCATTTAGTTCATACTAGTAAAACGTACAAAATGCGAATCATCATTCATTCATGTTGTTCATTTGCTACATTCAAAGATAACTTTTGGTATTATATGCCAAACACTACAAACAATTAAACGTATGACTTTTGTTGACTGTCAAAATCCGGCTCACATCTACAATTAGAAAAAGAATTTCTTTTAACGATTTTGATGAAATTTTGTGGGATGGGAAAGTTCATGTTCTTAACGATCATCCTAAAATATTATAGTTTAGTTTAGAATCACAATGTGTGGAATGCCTAATTTATAGCCGATACCTCAATTATTCTGGTTGCAAATAAGCAAACTTGTTCTAGCTCATTTTGATTCTATTAAATCTATTTATTATACGAGTAAAAGAAGAAATGAATAAAAAATACAATGTATATTTTACATATTAATTGTTTTTGTATAAACTAAATCCACATACGCTTAAAATTATGTACAAGAAAATTAAATCTATATACTATGCATTCTTTCTGCAAATGGATATCACTCAATAAACATCGATAGTTTTCAAAACATCTATGTATACATAGAGTTTAATTATTTTTAACTATGAATATTTATACATCATTTTTATTGAACACAGATTAAGTTTCTCATATACGTTTATGTTATATCTACATATATTATAAAATGTTATGCATTGACAGATCAATGCATTTAATTAAACGGAATTTTTTTCAATTAAATGTTGATGATGCATAAATATTCATCATATACAGTTATTTTCACACATATTAATATAATTATTTTATATCCAACATTTTTTCAAATGGCATCATGCACTACTTCGGTGCTCTTCTGTTAAAATTATCTGAAAAAAGTTCATGTTTGAGCTTTACAATATTACGGCATCTACGGCTTTACAATATTAGTTTAAAAAAAATGGACTCTTAATTATTGTTAATAATGATAGGTGTCTTTATACATTTGTACTCAAAAGTTCTGAAGTATTTTACTATACTATCTTAGCACGTCTGCATTTTTTTATTATAACATTGCAAAACTGAAAATTTCATGATACCGAGTTCTTAACCCTTTCGCTACGGGAACAGCGTGTCGCTCAGTTGCACTACTGAATGGGGATATACAAAGACAAATTTTAAGATATTTATATGATTATCGATAAAAATGTGTAAAATTAAAAATCCTTCCAATGAACTAGAAATTGCTGCAATAGACTAAAATTCTCAATACTTTAACACAGCGATAAATCTTAAAGCAAGGGCAAACATAGCAGGTCGTCCAGGGACGACATCTGTACACGCAGCACGTAATGTGGATATTGTCCAACGACGACATCCATACGTAAGGAACGTCATGTGGATGGCGTTTAGAGACGACATTCGTAACGAAAGGGTTAATAATTAATAATTAATTATAGGGGTATGTTAATCGATGTTTTCAGCATAATAAATATTTGCCACGTTTTAAGACGTTGCCAATCAATTTGAATCTCGAAATATAACAAAAGGATTGCCTATTATTCTCGTATTTTTTCAATATTTTTTATGTGTTTACAATATAAAAATAAGTTACTTTCTATTAAAAGATAAAAAACTGATTAGTGGCGAATCATCTATTAATGCAACATACAACAAAAAATCACAAATATAGGAAGTATGGTAATGCACGTTTCACTTGGGTCCTAAATGATACATTTTTAGAAAGACTTATGTAACAAATATGTTTTAAATATTTTAATAAATTTCAGGCGAATCTAATATTAAATATGGTAAAAAATTCCATAAATATAATGTTCTCACAAAAAGCATGGCATTCGTTCAGTATATATTACACACATTAAGGCTTATCTCGAAAAATTTAAAATTTTAAATATACTAATATTTATAAGCCAAATACTAATGTGAGTTGCAGAATGTTCTAAATTGATGATGTCGAAAATTACGATCCAAATTAATCTCTAGTTAAATAATATTAATAGAATATGAGTCAAACTTCTTTGAACAAAGTCATATCAATCTTTGTACATAGATTAAAAGTCACTTAACATATTATATTTTTTTACATTTGCTATACAGTACTACACTCAAAAATGTAATAGATTTGCTTTAGATTATATTATGTAATAAATATATATGTACAATACATATTAATGATAAAGATTATTTTACATATAAACAATGATAGACAATTCATTATATTATATATATATATATATATATATATATATATATATACATATATATATGCGTAGAATATAACTCACATTTGGGAAAATATTGCTAGTATTGATTATAAACAACAAAAATGTGCATGAACCTTTATACTAATAATCAAATTTTTATAGACGTACAAAAGCTCCGAATCGTGGACGTTTTCTAGTACGTTTCTAGGTATTTTATAAATATAATATAATTACTGTACCTTACAAGAGAATAAAATAAATCCTTTGATTTTCATACAAATTGAACTAGTATATATGTAGGATGGTATGTTTTTCTTTAGAGAAAAAACGAACTAGTATAACTTGTCATATTTTTTTAATAATCTTTTAAGTCTAATGATGGCACATTATTTACATACATTATTTAATAACTTAATAAAAATACTGAGAAAACATAAATACAGTTTCACTCGCAAGTTTTGTCAGTACTCAAATTTTACAATTTTATATGAATGTTGTAAAAAGTTTTATAAAGAAAAATTCTGAAGCATAAGGTTTTCAAGTAATTAATTACGTATCTAAATACGTAAGTATTTATATTACGTGTAACTGATCAATTCCATTTGGATAGCTGTGGTGTTTTACATCACTGTAGACGTGGCCAATACTGCACGCTCAATTCTGGGTGTTGCCTTGGGACGGCTATCGGCACGGACACACCAGGCGATATCAGACCTTTAGACATTTCATGGCTTTATATACACACCTCAGGGTTTGAATTAGTTCAAATAATTATAATCTTAAAATCAAGCAATTAAAAATATTAGGTTGTCAAACATCTCCCTTCCGCCTTTTTGTATTATAAACCAAGAGCAAAAAAGCGGAAGGGAGATATTTGACAACCTAATATATAATTTTATTTAAATAAAGCGGAATTGAAACGAGTAGATTAAACATTAAAACAACACAATGCCAATTTGGTGAAGGTATTATGAATTGTTAAATGTATTTTTATAGCAAATTGAGTTTCAGTATTATATAACAATTTCACGCCCAAATATTAGAATTTAGTTTAAAAGTAAAAACTATAGCAAAAATATTGTAAGTATATGATTATCCGGGCTACACCTATAATGCAAGGCCGTTTGACCGGATCAGCGTATATAAATTTTTATGCATAGATCTTTGCCGCTGTACTCGTACATAAAAGCAATCATCGTTGAAACAAATAAAAACTCCATTAGTCGTTTAATATCGCGTCAAACGAAGTAAGAGAGGTTTCCGACGCTACTGGCGTATTCATTACGCTATAACCCTCACTGGACGCCCCACTGGTCCGAGAAAAACTCACTGGCGCTCCATTCTGAGCGTACTGGTTTATCTGATAGCCTTGTCTCGAACACATAAGCCAGATGGTGGCGGTGATGATGATAAAATTCATATCCCGTCGTGGGAAGTGGTAAAGTGTAGTTATAAGTGGGTGCTGAATCAGGCCGCTGCCTTAAGCCACAGGAAGCACCACTCATAGAAGCGCTGCCGGTTACCGGCACATTCAACCCGGTTGCCGCTGCGTTATTCGTAGCGTTTCCCGGATGCGCAAAGCCAGACATGGATGACATTTTACTGACAATTAGAGTTAGTATAATTAATAAATTAAATAAACAGATATGCCATTTCTGCTGATTAATATCTTATATATAAAAATGGATCGCAAAATGTGTTGGTAAGTGCATAACTCAACAACGCCTGGACCAATTTGGCCAAATTTTCTTTTAAAATGTTCGTTCATGTCCAAGGATCGTTCTTACGGCGAGAAAAAATCGAATAATTGCCGGAAAAACCCTAAAAACAGCCCTTTTCTTTTTTAATCGAGTAGACAACGAAATATGTAGAAAAAACAATGATCTATGTCATGATATTTTATGTAGTTTTTGATAATCTAATTTTTAATATATTTATATAACCATAGAAATATCTTTCTATTAATTAACGAGCTATATTGGCAGCCAAAAACATTGATGTAAATGAATTAAATTTCAAAATTCAAGAACAAAACAAAAATTACAGGCGAATCAGGTGATACGGCAACTAACCAAGACGATCCACCGGAGTTTTTAAACTCGCTGGAGTTGCTAGGATTGTCACCTCACAATCTTCAATTAAAGGTTGGATCGGCAATTATAATGTTGCGAAATATCGACCAACCGCGCATTTGCAACGGCACAAGGTTAGCGATAAAAAAACTACCAAACAACGTGATGGAAATTATATATACATAATATATAAAATATATATAATATATTAAAAGGATAGTATAAAGCAGAAGATGTTCTCGCACCCTGCATCCCAATGATTCCGACTGATGTGCCATTTGAGACTAAACGACTACAGTTTCCAGTGCGTTTATGGTATCATTAAGGTTTGTGTCTTAAAATTGTATGTTGTCTGTTCCCGTATTGGAAAACCATCAGATTTGTTTGTCTATGCCCCAGGTACTTATTTTATTACATAAATAAAGAATATTCATCTCATGATGAAACTAATAATAAGTAAGTCATATGTCAAAATTATATTTGTTTATTCGTATCAAATTTTTCAACTTAATAACCCATGTATATTAGGTAGATATTTAGTTTCACTCGTTTCTAATATTGAAAATTTATTTGATTCAGATTGTATTAATATTTTTTAAATGTTTGTTAAATTATTTAAACTTGTACAAACTAGTTTATTTTATTCACAAACAATAATTCATAAATATTATTCAATGACTTTGAATTTGAGTCCATTATTTGCAAAATCATTTAAATTTAACATAGTATCGAAATATTTATTTTGAATATTTTTGCAAATACTGAAATTTTTGGAAATATCAAATAACAATAATGTTTGAAATGTCTTAGATATTTCATCAAAATCATTATTATAATATATTCTGTACTAGAATTGATAATTTGTGCCGCCAAATTGCCGAATATTTATAAATATCGTTACAAAATTCTACAGCGACGATACAAATCTAAAAATTTAAATCCATTCTATAAACGTTCATATAAAAATTATACGTTATATATAAAATGTATAACATATAACTCATATATAAAATTATATGTTATATAATATCATTGTATTCATAAATTTTCAGATCCGAGTCTGAATTTGACAAACGATTCGCCCGCCTGGTTTATGAGGGATGGTGGTCAGTTATCAAAAGGTTAGAGAGAAAATTAAAGCTCATTAATTCATAAAAATATTTATATGATTGATTTTTTAAATTTTTATTTTAACAAATGAAACCATCATCCAATGATAAAACATTCAATCATTATTAAAGAATTTTCAATGATTTTAAAGCATTTTGATCACTAATAATAAGCGAGTTTAGTACGATGTTTGTAACATATTTATAAATAAATTAATAAAAAAATAATTAGTATGTAAGAACGCTTGCATATAATATTTGCGATATGTTTTAGTAAAATCGATTAATATACATAGCTCAAATAATTTCAAAATTAAAAAATTTGGCAGAGGCCTTTTTAGATGTAAGTTAATTTTTGGTACATGCCGATTTATATATTTGAATATGAGTACGATTCAGTTTTTTGTGCTATGTAACATATTTAACTTGTTGATGAAACTTTTTAGAACATGGTCAACCGTAAGGTAATAAAGACATAAAGTTCACTATCTAGAGTTCAGCTTTCCAAAATTTGATTTAAATTCAGTCTTAAAGCCAAAGTCATTCTACTGTCAATACAAATGCTTAATAAAAATGGGTTCATTCCATAGGCATATTATGTGCATTTGAAATCATTCTAGCAACGAAAATGATTTGTTTTGATATTCGAAAGAAAAGGATATTTTATTACTAAAAGTGGTGGTCTATCATAGAAATACAATTTATATTCGCATTAGGAATGCATATTTGCTATTTTCTTTATTTAAAACTAAAGCGTTTTATGTTAATATTAATTAAGTTAATTATTTATAGTTTTCTTCTTCTTCGTACGGGTGTATTGTCCCCTTCGTTACTGTTCTAAAAAGTTATTTGTCAGAAAACGTTAGATCTATTACAATTCTCTAATCAATAGGTGTAACCAAGATACAATTTTTCAGGTAAAGAATTTCAAAAACTGCAGATTTGGACTTCTTTACCAAATGGATCCTGACAAAATGAGGTGTGAAAATCGGGATATAGAACGTGATTTATCACAGAACCCACGGCTAGTACCGCTTCCTGATAATCAGCATGAAAGGCTGAATTTAAGAAAAAAAAATATTAACCTCTAAAATTAACATTTATATAAATTATTATTTTTCGATATTAATTTTTTATACATAAACAAAAAATACGATTTTTTGATTGATTTATTTCGTTGGATTAATTACGTTGGATGACGCCGTTGGCAAAAGGGCTTGCACGAAGTTTTATTAAACCAACAGCGAATTACAATGATTGGTCCAAACAAAATTATGGAAATGAAGATAATGACCAAGACCAAGACCAAAGTTCAATAAGTAGTGGTTCCAATAGTTACAGAAGACGAGATAATATAACTAATTCTGAAGAAGTCTACACAAGATCGAAAAATATTGGTAATAAATTTGGTGAAAATCAAGATAATTATTATTCCTAGAATGACTATCAAAATGATAATTTCGGGTGATGGTTGGGGTAAAAATGGTGAGAGTGGTGGAATGAGTCGCGAAAGCCGAGGAGGAAAAGGTGGCTTTCGAGGTGGACAAGTTTGTGGTCGTAGATATGATAACAGAGATGAAGATCGCGATTATGAGGATGGTGGTGGTGATAGAAATAACTACAGGGGTTGGAAAAGCAAACTTCATAACTTTAAATGTCACACATAGAAAACAAGTTATTTTTATTGTTAAAGGGTCGATGTAACTGACTTTATAAACAACTATTGTTATAAACAAGTTCCAGTCCTTTGATTAAATAATATAAATACATATATATGTGAGCAACTCTCTTTATTTTCTAGTTATAGCAGTTATAAATTGAATAATTATACTAAAATCGAAAATATTGTTGTTTATCGAATATTGATTTTCTTATATACTTATTTGTCAATTTTTATAAATTCACCTATTATATACTTATACCGATACTATATATTATATGGTAATATTCAAATCTTATACCAGCAGTTGAAGTTACGATACTATTAATACTATCTTACAATGTACCATACATAGCCGATTGGTGTTTATATAATTAATTAATTAATATACATGTGCCTACCACCGATTGGGCTGAAATTTTAGCATGATATATAATCCGCATCTAGAACTTTTTCAATCTACTTTTTGTATCAGTTCGAAACCGTGAAAGAGAGTTCTTTTAACTGCACTTTTTACAAAATTGTATAAGGTCATATATTTTATCTAAGTATTATGCAATATTAATTAAATATTCACTTAAATCGGTGAATTTTTGTGTGAACGAGTCGTGATCGAACTGCGTCTTTTACCAAATCGTAAGTAGACCATATAAATCCTCCATATTTTCGACAGTATGGAACAACCGATTTATATGATTCAAAATACATTCGGTTCGTACTGGCCGCAAAACGTACTTGGTTAGTTTTTGGAGGTACGGATCGCAAAAAGATTAAAAATGATAATGTAGTATATGAGAGAAAGATTCATCCAATTAAAATGATTCAAAAAACATGTTGCTTGTGTTGGCGGTGTAAAGAGATGCTTTTTCAAAGGAATTCAAAATTTTTAAATACACTCAATATGTATTAAGTAACTCAATATTTCTAAATTTTTAAAAATATCAAAATTTTCACAAAAAAAAAACTATTTTTTTCAACAATTTCGAAAAAGCACATGCAATAATGAACATACTGAAATTTTTGGATGACCGAAAAAGTTTGGATTGAAAATAGGAATTTAAAAATAATTCGGTTGTGCGACAACGATAGAAGGCACTACAATTGGATTATGAGCACCCGCAAATCGCTTTGATCTTCTAAATAAAATTAAAATCAATGTATTTTATGCGAATTTATATTGTATCAAATTTTTTGTGTACTAAATCCAGATTTATTAACTTCCCGTAGGGCAAGTTATAGTAATCGCCAAAAAAACGAAAATGAAAATTTTTATATATCTTTACGTTTCAAAACTTTCTGAACATTTTGGCATACCTTAGAAAAAATGGATGTATGTGTGTGTGTGTGTACGTGTACGTGTATGTGTGTGGGTGTGCGGATACAAATTTTCGTCGACGATTTCGGGAACACGGATGAAGCGATTTGAGTAGTTCAAAAAACATTCGAATCGTATTGATAAGGAGACGAAATTCAAAAAACATTTTACTCGTATTAACAAGATGAAAAACTGATCAAATTTTCATGAAGGCAGGTCTAGCGGTTTCGAAGATCTTGTAAAAAAAAAAGTAAAAAAAAATGCCATTTGGCGGTCAAAAATGATCATTAGACATATGCATCAAATTATCAGATATTTTATAGAGATTTTAACAATAAGTATAAATTTTGTTTACATTCCTATGGGTTCCGCACCAATGTTTATGCGTTAGACGGCAATGTGGCGCTTACGCGCTTCGATATTTCGTCTTTATGCAGTTAAAGCAGTATGATTGCTTTGAAAAAAAGATCAGTCTTTTTTTCAAAAAAAAGTAATTTTTTGTCAAAAATTTATAGTTTCTCAAAAATCTAATTTTTTCAGAGTAATTTTTTTTTCAAAAATGTTAATCTTTTTTTAAAAAAAAATGGTACGGGAAGTTCCAGCAATTTGCCTTAAGGCACGATGCCATACACCCCACTAGTTAAAAATTATTTTAAAAGAAATACCTAAATGTTTATATAATTTTTATGATAAATTGTTCAAAAAGTTAAAATAATAGGGGGGGTTGCTAGAAAAAAATTGGCATGCGGGATTACCCCAGGATCTATCCAGTATTCACCACCAGTTGGATTGAAATCTTCAAAGACTTTGGGCGGCTTGCTGGCTCATACACTCTCGTAGCGAACGGGTTTTAATAGAGATCACAAATATATAAAAATCGGAAAATAAATGTAACTAGAAATTACTATGTATTCTTATAAGATTTCAAACAGGTGGTATTTCATATGAATATATCATTTATCATATTGTAATATTGTCTAGGGGTAGCAACTCTTCTTTTATCTATAGGCAGCAGGTTGCCCCTTGCTATGATGAGTGGTCGCATACTCTTCTTTTATCTATGAGTGGTCGTATCAATTATTATTATATTGTCTAGGGGTCGAATAAAAATTCCATGCTGTAAACGACAGTTTGACAGGCGTCATTGACATTGACAGCTCCAGCATGGAGTTGGAGTCCGCAAGATAACCCCGATGATTTTAAGATAACCCTTTACGTGTAGAGCAATACACCACCTTAAATCAGGCTAAGAATTTTGACATTTGCACATTTCAGCCTGCATGAAGTTGGCGACAAATAGAAGTTAGCCGTCAAGTTGAAATGTATTGGATTCATAACTTTGACAGCTAAAACCTGTCAAGATCATTATTATCACAGCCAAACAAGTATTATTACTATTATGATTATTATATTGTCTCATACCAAGATGATAGCATTTACCTTAGACAATATATTACGTTAAAATACAATATATCTTGTTTCCTCATAGCAAATATTGCAGAAAAAACGAAATATATATATGTCAATTCCAAGACATGAAGTATTTCGATTTAGTATTATAACATCAAAAGTGTTTCAATTTTATTTCATTTACTGAACCTTCTATTTGTTTTTGTTGAGTTTCAGTTAGCTTCCACTGAATTAAGGTTAAGATCGTAACCAAACCCTACAAATATGTAACTGTATGATAAAATGTAACCCTATGCGTAAAACGTAAGCCTAAATATTTTTTTAAAACACAATTATAACTAAAACATTGTATAAAATCTAAGCTAGACCAAAATAATCTTTGAATGAAAAGAATCCTAAAACATAACCCTAAAATTAAAATAAGAACTAAATAGGCGCGTAATCAAGAAGCCAAAGCGAATAAACTTGAACAGACTTAAAAAAAATAAACACAAAAGGAATGAATCATAACGAAAAGCTAAAAAATATTAATATTAAATATGAAACAAGCGTACTTGATAAAAAAAACAATACTCCGACGCAACGCAGTTATAAAAATGAACAAAATGGTCGACGCGCTCTTGACATCTGAAATGCTTGACAGCTTGATATCTGTCTTCGCCGGCAACTTCATGCTGGCTGAATTGTGCGGAAGTGTCAAAGTCTTATGCCGCGTCTCCACTGTTACGAATCCGTGCGGCGAATGGTGCGTCACGAACAAATTTGCGCAGCGGAGTGATACTGTGCGAACGCACGAATTCCCTTTAAATTTGTCCACTGCGCATGTCCATAGCGCACTTTTTTCTTCTTTTTTTGTTTGAAAATGGGAGGGGGGGTTATTTTTAGAATTACGTACCCTGCCGAACATGGTCGAAGCGACACGAAAATTTCAATAGCTTGCGTTCGCGGCGCTCGCTCCCGCCGCGAGAAACCCGACGCATCGGGCTGCCGAGAATACCCGAACCGACACTAATGGATTAGCGTCAAAGCGCGGATCAAAAATGTAAATAAGTAAGCAGTCATTAAATTGATGTACTAATTATAATTTTATCTAACTATTAGTTAGGAAATACATCGGTAATTAAGTTAGTATAGGAAATACATCGGTAATTAAGTTATAGATATGTTGAAATATATGTATATCCAACTAAATATATTTTTGGTAGACTTTATTTATCATATTTCAGAGTTAATTTATATCATCATGATATTATCATGTATATATATATAATTATTATATATATATATATATATATATATCTTTACTACTTATATGACGTATCATATATTTATTATTCAAAATAAATTAAATGTTTCAAAAAAAAATGGTAATATTGTATTATTTGCAATTACGCTAAATATCATTTAAAATCTTATTAATATGCAGACTGAATTTTTGCTCAAAGTCTTTTCTGACAAGTATTTATATTTAGAACAGAAGTAATAATTTTTATTCAAAACTGATAATTGTTGGTCAGCCTGCCTCTGTATTCGTATACGTTATTTCTTTGAACTTGTACGTAAACGTTATCTGTGCTACGGTATAAGTTCAATTGTACAGTGAAGGCATTAAGATATTTCATCGAATCCTCAATTTTGAAAATGAATATGCGTAGAGAAGATGTTATACTTCTTTACACTTCTTATAATTGAACTGTATCAAGAAAAAAAATATTATGGATCCTAAAAATTTCAAATGTATCAAATTGCTATTTGCAATTACGCTAATATCATTTAAAATCTTATTAATATGCAGACTGAATTTTTGCTCAAAGTCTTTTCTGACAAGTATTTATATTTAGAACAGAAGTAATAATTTTTATTCAAAACTGATAATTGTTGGTCAGCCTGCCTCTGTATTCGTATACGTTATTTCTTTGAACTTGTACGTAAACGTTGATCTGTGCTACGGTATAAGTTCAATTGTACAGTGAAGGCATTAAGATATTTCATCGAATCCTCAATTTTGAAAATGAAATGCGTAGAGAAGATGTTATACTTCTTTACACTTCTTATAATTGAACTGTATCAAGAAAAAAAATATTATGGAATCCTAAAAATTTCAAATGTATCAAATTGCTCGCAGTGTGCGTCGCGCACAAGAGCCAACGCATGCGTGCGTCGCGAACAGGATTCGCCGCACGGATTCGTGCAGTGGGGACGCAGCATTAGCTTGATTTAATGCCTCCTGTAGAGCAATAGTTATTTTAACATTCACATAAAGAACATGTTAATTGTGTTTAAGAGAAAATGCAGCGTTATTACTTAGGACTAGATTTAAGCACTCAAAAGGTATTTAAGAAAAAAAAAACAAATGAGTTTAAAACATATATACATTGTAAACTCTGGAAATTATGACAGCTGGAATATGTATGGCATTTCATATTAACTTTATATATTAAAGTTATCGAAAATCTAATTATTTTATATATATTATCTGTCAATTATTTATATAATTATTTTGTGTATATATATACTAAAATATATATATTAAAAATTTTAATATAAATCTTGTATATCTCAGACAGGCAGAATTGCCTGGTATGAGAGATCGTACAAAATATCTATACATAGTATATATATATATATATATATATATATATATATATATATATATTCTACATATATGATATGGTCATTACAACATTTTATATTATTTATTCTATAATTCAATCATACGTATATTCATTCTTACATTCATGCTTTGGTCTAATTTATTTATCTACATTTTTTTAAAATATCCTTTTAACTTAATTTTAAATTGATTCTCTTCTTTACTATTTCTTTCTGATTTTGATGTTGACATATGTATCAACAAAATCTAATAATCGGGCTATATATATATATATTAGATGGTAGAGTCTTGGATTTGTAAATATTTTGTAGAGCTTCGAACAAAGAATCCAAAAATGTAACAATTTCCAATATACAACAAAATTCCATACAAAACTTTGATTGAATTGCGCTCCATCTAAAAGACAATATTAAGAGCTAAAACTTTCAGAGAATTGTTTTTTATCAATTTGGAACCATTTGAGCCCTTGGAAGCTTTGGAAATTCGAAAATGTCCATATTAAGGACCACCATATTTATTTATTTATATATATATATATATATATATATATATATATATACACCTAAGTCTGTTTTTACACGGTAGATTGGTTCCAGAAGAAGCCGTGTAAAAAAAAAACGTGTAAAAAGGACATTGATCTTATACAAAATGGGTGATTTTTTCCTATCTCTAAAACCTACTAAATTAGTGAAAACAAGAATTTTTTAAGAACAAGATATCATGTTTATTTTGTTAAATCAAATATAATAAAAAAAGTCAAGTAAAATTGTTTGTACGCGCTAAAGGGAATTCACTTAATCTTTAAGCTAGTGTTTGCAAACTATCGATACTATCGATGGTTTCAGACTTTTTTCTTTCAGATACTTTTTTGTGATGTGAACATACTTCGCAAAAATTAATTTGACAAAAAAAAAAATTTAGTACATAAAATTTCAAAAATCATGCTAAATGGATAAAATCGTGTAAAAAAATTAAAAATATTCAATTATCAAACCGTGTTATATCAAAACCGTTACAAAAAACCGTGTAAAAACAGACTTAGGTGTGTATATATATAATATATATATATATATATATATATATATTAGGGTGGTCCTTAAATGGTCATTTTCGAATTTTCTTGCTCCCAGGGGGCTTAAATGGTTCCAAATAGATAAAAAACAATCTCTGAAAGTTTTAGCTCTTAATATTAACGTTTAGATAGAGCGCAATTCAATCAAAGTTTGTATGGAAAGAGCATGGAAAAATTTTGAAAATTAAAAAAAAATGTTTAGGTATAAGTTAGCGACAAATGAATGAGTTTTATTTATTCATTTGTTCACTAAATTACATCTAAAAAACATTTTTAAAATTTTTGAAAATTTTCCATGCTATTTCCATACAAAACTTTGATTGAATTGCGCTCTATCTAAACGTTAATATTAAGAGCTAAAACTTTCAGAGAATTGTTTTTTATCTATTTGGAACCATTTGAGCCCCTGGGAGCAAGGAAATTCGAAAATGACCATTTTAAGGACCACCCTAATATATATATATATATATATAAACATATCCTATCAATAAAGATAGGATTTTCTTTTAAATGCTTACTTTAATGACTTATTTAATTCAATGTTTTTATATTCCCATTACATTTTATTGAATTTATCTAAACATACCATTATTTTCCAATTAATCGCATCCTTTTCATAGTGCACATTCAAAAATCTGATTGCTTGTTTAAGAGCATTCAATTTCATTTATTCATCTGATATGTAAAATAATTTGTTTTAACTCCTCTCTGAAACAAAAATAATGTTAAGTGCTCTTATATAAATCTAAAGTGTTGTTTATGTTTAAAAAAAAGTCAATTACATTTAAATACATTTTTATCACAATTTATTTCTATTTCCAAGTTAAAAGCCATTATTATCGATGATTTGCTTAAATTGGTACATTGTGATGAAGTGGAGTTTGACAAAGAACTATCCGAATTTGATACTCATGGAGGTGTATTGCGGTCTAAGGATAATCCAGACCATGTCGTGGCCCCAGTTTTGATGTGGCTGAAAGCGATTGATTTACTTTTAGATAAGTTGGTCAAGAGCGGCTTAGATCTTAGTAAAATAGTTGCTTTGTCTGGTTCAGCACAGGTATGAATATATTGATGTTTGTAAGAAGACGAATAAAGTAATAAATATAAAATATATTTAGTTAGAAAAGAATCTATGGAGTAAACTAATATATATTCAAAAAATTATCTATGTGCATACCATTGTGTTATATTTATTAATTCTTTGCAACAGGTGGTACTGCAAAGGTAACAAAATAATTTTGCTGTTTATTTTAAACTCTTTATTAGAAATTGTGGAAGTTATAGATATTTAAAAAAAAGTCTTTCGCACTATCGAGTTTAAAAATTAAAAGAATAAAATTTAGAAATTTGCAAGATTATTGTGTTTGATGAAACTATATTATATATATATATATATATATATATATATATATATATATATATATATATATATATATATATATAGATACGTTGTGTGCATAAGTATAAAAACTTGCTCTAATAAATTAACTTATTATTATATGCATGATATCATTTAAAATATATTTGTAATTTTATTTAATGGGCAATATTATTTGATATCATGGTTTGTTTATTGTTAGTTGTACAATTTTATAAATTTATTTTTACTGGACATATATATTCCATTTTCAACTTTTTGTGAGAAGTTTGCTAATGTATCTAGCATTCTGTACTCTGTAAATGTATTTTTCTCACATATTGTATGTAGAAATTATTCATATTCATATTTAATGAACAAAATTATAGTCATCATGGTTTGTTCATTTAACTATATATATAATTTTTTTTTTTTTTTGGTTGATGTTGAAATGAAACATATAATAGTCGAAATAAAATGTAATAAACAATTAAGTATTTATTTTATACATTTTGACACTATGTGTATCATCATCCAGCATGTTAAACAAGTTCTAAAAAATATTTTACAAAGTTTAAAAAAATTACAAGTATATATATATATATATATATATATATATATATATATTGTTTAATTGCGTGATGATTAATATGAGTTAAGTAATTTTTTGAAGGCAAGTTCATAGTGGCCTAAATAGAAAGATATTTGCTCTTTCTCTAAATTGCACTAAATTTTCGCCTGCATAATATAAGAATTTATTTTCTGTTTGAAAAATAATTGACATTTTCTGGTAAAAGTTTGCTTGCATATATTTTTTATGATTGTATTTAATGAACAAAATTATTTCAAACTTTGGCTTGTTCATTTCCAGTTATAAATAAATAAATACTCAACAAACAAAATAGATTTTCTAACTGAAAAATGTGTAAAAATTTTGCCTTGCCCACAGGTTAAATTTTATTCGAAGTAAATAAATCTTATTTATTTAGTTCATGTTGATTTTAGCAACATGGTTCTGTATATTGGAAAAAAGAAGCTGAGCAGTATCTGACACAGTTAAATTCAAATGAATTTCTCCATACTCAATTAGCAAATTGTTTCACTATCATGCAATCTCCGGTATGGATGGACAGTTCAACGACTAAGCAATGTCATGATTTTGAGCAAGCTGTTGGTGGACCAAAGGTTAAACATAATCAGAATATTTTATTAAATTGGTCTTTATGGTGAAACTTTATTAATTGCTATTATTCAGTAGGTATTGGCTACAATAACTGGTTCCCGAGCATATGAGCGTTTCACAGCAGCTCAAATTAAAAAAATTTATGAACACCTGCCAGAGGTGTATGCTAGCACTGGGCATATATCACTTATTAGTAGTTTTGTTTGTTCTTTGTTTTGTGGAAAAATAGTACCAATAGATACTTCAGATGCATCTGGTATGAATTTATATGATATTACAAAGAAACAATGGAACCAATTGTGTTTAAAGGTAAGTTGCGTGATAAAAATAAAAAATATTTGAAAATAATCAAACATGTGTTATTTTAAAAAATTCACAACACAAGCTGCATTACATAGGGTAGGGCAGGGTACAAAGGTCCATTTTTTTCTTGAAAACCAACTCAGTTTAGTCTAATTCCCAGGTATTTTAGGAACAGTTTTTTTTTGTTATTTTTCCAAAATTTGTGACCAGATACTTTTTATCCCGCAGTCAGGGTAAAAATAGACAGCCAGGTGGCTAAAAGATCCGCAATTCTATTTTTAATTTCAAAGAGGTTTTATGAAATAAAAACTACATTATTTGATCTATGCAAATCAGTTTAATTTTTGGATTTAACAACGAAATTAAGAATTACATGCTAAATACTTATTTTTAAACATAATAAACAAAAATCTTCATTAGCACTTGCTACTATCATGAATTTTGCTTTGATAACTATTTCTGTTCAATTTATCACAAACAAGGTGAATACAACTCCTGTTTGAAATACCATTTCATGGGCATATTTATAACAAAAATCGCACTGCTTACAACCTTTGTATGAAACTTAATCAACAACAACAATGTTCAAAACCAAAGCTAACAAAAAAATACTTGCATAAAAAGTTAACTATGTGGTCGTTTACCTCGTGATGGCGATGTCGGCCGATTAAAGTCGATGGCTGGTTACACACCATTTGACTTAAGCTTTATAATAGTATCATTTAAAAATACCATACTTTACTTTGAAATAATGTAGATGGACCGCGGACCTTTAAGCTCCGCTCTACCCTATATATTACCTTAAATTTAATTAGCAAACTTTTTGCTGAATATATCCATTAGCACACAATTCTAGGATAATGCATTCTCAATTCAATTAACAATTATTGATACAAATTATTAGACCAGTAATGAGAATATTAAAATATATAAATAAAATTTCACAAAATAATTTTCATGAAATCATACTAATTAAAAATAGGTTACACTATTGCTTTTGCATTATTTAAATTGATAGATTAATATTAACTAAACTATCTAGGCCTGTGCACCAAATCTGAATGAAAAGCTAAAAGAACCAGTTGATTCAAACACATGTATAGGAACTGTTTCAAATTATTATGTGGAACGATTTGGATTTAGCGCATCATGCAAAGTTATAGTTTTCACGGGTGACAATCCATCTACATTGGCTGGTATATAAAATATATTAATTCTATATGAAAATGAAAAAATGGAAGTGCGTGAGAATGTTAATTCAAATATTCAAAAAAAAAAAAAAAAAATACCACTACTTTTAAAAATTCAGAAGCCAAAAATTGTGATAAATTGGGTTAATTAGTTATATAATGATGATCTGTCCGTTTACTTTCATATGAGAACAGTTAAATAAAAATTAGGCTTGCACCGAGCTTGCGATGGATCAGTATTTGGAAGTGTTTGATATGAAGAAATTATTTCGTTATTGTATATATAATAATTTAAACTTTATCGACTTTTGACATTATAAATAAACATGTGAAGAACTTTTTTCTGAATATTTATAGGATACTTTATTATTACATGTTTATATTATTTAATATGAATCATTCAATGGTTACACACATGTGTTGTATCAATACAATAAAGTCATTCATTATATTCAATCTAAGCATTTCCAAATAAAGAATTATTATTGGCTCTTTGTCGCAAAACATATGAATAATATTTTTGACCATTGTTTATTAATTTTGTTATGATTAGCATTCCTAATATATAAGAAATAATATTGAGTTTATGAAAGAAAAAAGAACCGCTATTTTCATAATTTTGCCATTTACTTCCCTATCACATGTGGTATTCAAGTATTCGGTATTTGCTCAAATAATATAAATGGTGCTAAATATTCCAAATAACAATAAGGTAGCCAAAGAATAGTGGTTGCAAGTCTAGGCATAAAACTTGAATAAACATGTACCTCATTAGTAATATAACTATTACTGATAGTAATTACATCAATACAAACGAGCTTAGGCGCCAAAAACCTGCCGAATAGTTGCCGAATATTCGGTATTCAGCCTCTAGATCAAGGGCGAGCAACCTTTTTAAGCCACGGGCCAATTTAAATTTTCAAATTGTTTGGCGGGCCGCACGTAATTTTTATATATACTAGCTGACCCGGCAAACGTTTAGCTATGGAAAATATTTTTAGAAAATGATCAGTATAAGAAATGACTATCTAATCTCAAATGTATAAATATTATTACATTTAATTAATATAATTTTACCCACTGAAAACGCTAAAATACTAATAAATATAGGATAATTTATTTACTGCAAGGCTAAAATACTAACATCCATATTGTAATTATGTTATACTCTGAAAAAAATTTCAGTTGTCTCTCAAAAACAGTTTTATCTCCTGATTTTAAAATTAAATTTATAATTACTTTTGCTGAGATAGCTCCTTCTGTAAGACATTAAAAAACTATGTACTTCTTATGCACATCGAGAATTATTTGTACAATAGGATAAGCCTGCAAATCATTATTTTTATCGGTGGTGACCATTTCGTTGCCATTTTTTAAAATATTGCAGCGGATAAATTTAAGCTTTTTAAAAGCTCAAAAAAATCTTGATCGAATTTCAATTAAAAACGCTCACAAAAAAGGCGATAATAGTTAACTGATCGATTACCGAGCTATATAAAAAATGATTGGACTACTAAAATGTAGTCCATTTCGCATAAAAAAATTAAAATAAAGAACAAAATTTTAAAAAAATTGTTACGGCTGTACAAACCATGTAAAAATAAATTGCCTTTTTTAATAAAATTGAAGCTTTTTTCTAATCTCTGATAAGTCTAATCTAAAATTAAGTCAAAAGATGTATTGACTGAGCGCTGGATTAATGTAATTGAAACAAAATTGCAAAATTGCCACAAGAAAAGAACAAAAATATAAAATTGAACAAAGTATATATTTTATGATTTCGAGTGTATATTATAAGTGTTTATAAATATTAATACAAAATGAAAACCAATAATATTTAAAAGCACTGTTTTTTATATAAGCTGATCAATATCAGCGTTTTTTTAGATTTTGTTCTTTATTTTAATTTTTTTAATGCGAAATGCAACGCGTATGCAGCTTTGATATGTTTTACTCAGCTTTGATAGGTGGTGGATTTTTTATGAATGGTTGAAATTAACCACAAGTTAATTAATTGGGTGTTTGACATATGATTTTCAAGGTACCTTTTACCACTGAAGATAAATCTATAGTCAAAATTGGGTCACAGCGACTTTTCTTTGTGAGCCTGTGTAATTGTTCGGGCGCATACGTACTTCCAAAAAAAGAATTTATCATAATTTGATTTACGTTTTTTTCAAAAGCGAAAATTTCTCAGGCTGACATAAGATTTATAAAAAAATTCGGTATTTACTGAAAAAGTGCATTTTTTAAATCTATATTATTTTGCATGTTAAATTGCGAAAAAAACATTTACATGAAAACAGCTGTCTTGTTAGCTTTGAACATTTGGAATCACAATTAAAATTTGTTCACATTTTCTTTTTTTGAATATGAAAAGTGAAACACAAGATTCTGCAAAAGATATTATTCTTAATTACCAAAATGCCAAAAGTAATAATATAATTATTATTTCATATCCAAAAACAATCGTATTTTGTCATTTGAGTCGTATGCTCCTTTAAGCATTGCATCACTATTAAGCTAACGTACTTTAGTATTGAAAATCGACATATTCAGGATCTAAATTATTAGGAAGTCTTACTTAATTTACGATGATTTAACCCTCGCGACTTTATAAGATATACTTATTTAATTATTTTGAATTTAGAAATGCGTTGTTGCTATGTTCTCAGACAAGTTCTTAATTTTTCTTGCAATATTGAAGATTGTTAAACTAATATTTAAATAAATTAATATTTATTTTATCAGGAAATGCTATTTTTTCGAACAATTGTTTATACCAGAATTTGACTGACGACAAAATTAGCCTTTGCACCCGTATTTGATAAAATATCTAGAGAAATAATCTGTTGTTGGGAAATGCTTGGCGGGCCGCAGCAAAACATCCGGCGGGCCGCATGCGGCCCGCGGGCCGCGAGTTGCTCATCCTTGCTCTAGATCATGCCGAAAATTCGGTATTCGGCATTTTGCCGAATATCTATGCAAGTCTCATTAAAGATTATCAATCTGTCGCATTCGTAGGAATTAAGAAAAAGTTAAAAAACAACTTCAAACTGCCTGAAAAAAACTTTTTTTCAATAATCTCGAATTTTTAAAAAATAGTAAAAGTCGGAAAATTGAGGACGAGTTCATGATAGTTCAGATAGTTTATGATAGAAATTGTGGATATCATATCTAAAAAGACAGTTTTGAACAAAAGCATTTAAAGTTTCATGGAGGAAGGAAACAAGAGGATTATGATTATCATGGTCAAACAGCCATATCTCCGAAAATAATTGAAATTTTGAAAAATCCTCTCGTACACATATTCTTAAAATCTTGAAATTACCAAAAAACAAAATCCAATTTCTTAAAACTTCTTCTAGACAAGAAAACCCTCTTAATAGTTTTAAATTAATTTCTTGGTATCTCGAAAAACGTATATTTATAAATATATAGTCTGCATAATTTATCACAAAAACACTTAATTGTGTTGTGTGTCTTCAATAACTTTTTTTTTTCCTTTCTAGGCATGTGCTTGGATAATGATTGGCTAACAATTAGTTTAGGCACAAGTGACACTGTATTGTTAACTGTTGAAGAACCAAAACTTCTTTTAAATGGTCATATATTGTGCAATCCAATTCATGCCAATTCATACATGGCAATGCTATGGTAAGAAAATTAGATTTAAAATATAAAATTGGATGATCGCAATCTTTGCAAGAATTGTATCAGTTTTAGAAATGGATCTCGTTGCAGAGAGAAGATAAGAAATACTTGTGCAGACAGTTCATGGGAAATATTTGATAAACTTTTGAACATGACACCCAGTGGAAATTTTGGAAATTTTGGTAAAATTTTGATTATCTTCTCGAAGCGCTTGCGTTGCGTTGCGTAGCTCTTTTAGAGACGAAACTTCGAAACGCGTAAGCGCCGCATCGCAATCCGCGACGGTTATAAATTATAAAATCTTGGTACAAAACCCATAGAAATAAGAACAAATTTTGTATTCATCATTAAAATTTCTGTTAATTTAATGTGCATGTGTCTGCTGTTCATTTTTGACCGCCCAATGGCATTTTTGTTAGATGTCCCAAACCGCTTTTTGCACTTTTTGTCTGGTACCTTCGAAACGGCTGGACCTGCCTTTGTAAGAAACTAATTAATCACCATGTCTCTCTGTCAATAGAAATCGAATATGTGTTTGAATTATTCAAATCAGTGGATCCACGCGCTCTGGAAGTCGTCGACGAAAAATTGTATCCGCATATACACATTTTTTTCTAAGGTTCAATGCACAATGTTCAGGATGTTTTGAAACTTAAAAAAAAAATGCAAAAATTTTCATTTTCGATTTTTTTGCATATACTATAACTTGCCCTACGGGAAGTTAATAGCCCTACATAAGAAATTAATAGAGCTTTACTATCCAATAAAGTAATTAATATAACTAATAATTTCAGTAGTTACACATTCTATTTTCTGATAGGTCTTTACTATGACACACAGGAAATCTTACCAGCTATAAAAGGTGAATATCGATATAATGAACATGGAATAAAAATTGACAAGTTTCCATTGAATGAAATAGAAATAAGGGCTATCATAGAAGGTCAGTGTATAGCAAAAAGAGTTCACGCAGAAGATATTGGCTATCAATTTTCCAAAGACACAAAAATTCTAGCAACTGGTGGTGCTTCCAAAAATAGATCTATACTTCAAGTTTTAGCTGATGTTTTGAATTGCCCAGTTTACATACAGGTGACGAAAATTAAAAATTAATTTCACATAATGTGAAAAATATGAACCTCTATTTAAAAGAAATCTTGAGGCATCAGAAGGCATTATGTTAAAAATTCTTTATAATATGCCAGTCAAATAATTTAAAAGTAAATCAATAATTCAGTTTCAATACTAACCCATACTTCTGAAAGAAAACTTTCATACTGATATATTTATGAAAAGTCATTACTACTACATTATAAACCATCAAATTGTCATTACTATATTAATTAAGGGTTATTTTTACAGGATGTAGTTGATTCCGCAATGTTGGGCGCAGCATATAGAGCAAAGTTTGGCTTGTATAAATATGAAAATCAACTAGAATGTAATTATTTTGATATAATTAAACCAGAATCTCAACCAGTCCTTATATGCCAGCCTAACAAAGAGGCTGAAAGTGTGTATAGTTCTATGATGAATCGTTATAGAAATATTATTAGTGAATTATGTTGAATTTTGCACATTATAAACAAAGATAATAGTTCATTGTACTAGTTTTTTGTACCATATAAAAAAAAAAAATTGATATTGGTGTTTTGATTAACTTCTGGCAGCTGGTAAAATTTATTTTCACTCATTATATGTATGTTTTAGTTTACATATATTAATTATGTACTGCAAAATGTCAAAACTATCATATCAGCCATCTACATTTCATTGATTGTTATATTGTGCACTTTCGTAATATAAATTTGCATAACCAACAATTAATCTTGACAAATACATGCACAAAGTTCTAATCAAAATGAATTAGTCAATTACCCAAACAAATTACTTGTTACAAAATTAGAAATATACACATTTAACATTACATTATATAATATTAATCAGCATAGATTATACAATGGAAAAAGAGAAGCCATGTAATAATTATATCGACCGAATCGACCACAATTAAAGGCAATACACAAGAGTAGATGTAATAAATCTGCATAAAATTGTAAGAACGGTAAATTGGCAATATAATTCTAAACAATTATAATTTAAAATAGGAATTATTAAAATGTAATTTGGTGCATAAACTTAGAATGCACATATGACCCTTATAAGAGGTAAAGAAAACTAAAAGCAATGTGCACTAACATAAAACCATTGTATATATATTAAAACTAGTGTCTTGAGTCGGGCAATAGCACCAAGTAAAAAAATCTAAAGCAACTAGAAAATCAGCTTTATTAATCCATACTTTCAGTCTTAATCAAGTGCTTTTTTTATAATTAATTTAGGAAGAGAAAATGGATGTAAACATATTCGACATAAAGATAGGTACTTACAAACAAAAACAATTTAACACTATACTACACTAATTACCACAATTATGACACCAAGCTATCAGTAGTTCAAACATTTAAAACTAATTATGAATTTGAGTTAAAAAACTAAATTTGTGTACTTGAGTTGTTGAAGTCTGAACGCTGAGTGAATGTGTTTACAAAGATTTTTTTAAAATTAAATTCAAACAAAAATTGCTAACTGGTAAAATCATATGGTTTCACAAAGTAATAAAAAAGGGACTCGTTTCATTCAGTAATATTGTTTGAAAAATTGTTGAGGAATATCTTGTATTCATTACAAAGCATATTGTTGATTGCTCTATTGTTCAATGATATTATACAACCTTCACTAAATCTTCTTTTGAATATATTTAGGTTTAGGAAATCAATGTTATGCTCAAGGTTATTGATGTGTTCTGTGAGCATTGTTTTATACTGATTCTTATTTTTTTTAATTATTACTGTGTTGAGAAATGCTTCTGTGTAGATTTTGGCTAGTATTGCCTATGTAAAAACCTTCGTAGTTTAGACAATTTAACTTGTACACTAAATTACTTATTGTTACATTGAATTACTAATATGTGCTGTTGCCCAACTCAACACACTAGTTTTAATTAACACCCAATTTACATACTCATATATATATATATATATATATATATATATATATATATATATATATATATATATATAAAGCGGGAGGTTTTTCTTCAGATGGTGAAATAATATAATAAAATTGTTTCTTGGGCATCCATCTAGTAATTAAAAAACAGTTTTAATGAAAAATGTTTTTATTTATAGAGAACATACGTTTCGGGTCTTGATTTGACCCATCTTCAGTGCATACAAATAAACTTTGAAAAACAACACAAAAACACAAAAATGTACGAAAAAATAAATAAATATGAAATAAAAAATTGATGAAACGTCGAGTTATAAAAAATTCAAAAAAATTGTAAAATTAGAATAAATGATATATTTTATTATAAAAAAGCTTATTCCAAACAAACATGTTGTTAGTTTGGAAATTGTATTATGAGTGAATACAATGTTAGCTGTTCAAAAACCATTGAAACGTAAAGATATATAAAAACTTTCATTTTCGATTTTTTGCAAATACTATAACTTACCCTACGGGAAATTAATAAAATGCGTTAAAGTAAATAAATGAAATTAATACAATTACACATATTATAGGTGGAAGATGTTAACTAAAAATCGTATTGATTGCGTTTTTTATTGGGAAAGAAACATTTTATTTTTGAAATAAACCGTTGAAAAGTTTATCCAAATAGCCATGGCTATGATTTGAAATATGCATATTTCACTTCTCTCTAACTAATTGTAAGCCATTTATTTACACGTATCGGGAAATTCATGCAACTTGTCTTAAGGTAAAATGACAGATTACAGCTAGAGTTTCTTATTTTTTGACATACAAATGCCGCCTACAACATCATCTTCATTACCGTTTATTTAAAAATTATGAATTTACGGTTATTGAAATGAATCGGTTACTTGTCAATAATAAGTAGAAACGTATTGGATTCAGTTAGTAACAGTGTTATGTGTTAAATAGAAAGCTTACCTGTCAGAGAGCAGCAAGTCCATGAGTATTATCTATACACATGGAACGAATCTGTCCATCGACGACATGAAATGAAATCCTCACGTGTTCCTCGTGCTCGGGAAACGACGCCATAATTCATCCTCTATTATCACTTTTGAGTTAACAAAATTTAGCAAAAACACCACAATAACATTTGTATGAAGCACGATTATGAGCACATCATCTTCTATTATTGTCTAGGTTATATAACATATTCTAATATTGTCTAGGATCTAGGTTACAGACTAACGATTGATGATCAGTTACGGGTTAACCACGACAGCCGGTGCGATGACAATGCCATCTCACGTTCAATAATTTAAGTTCATTTCCCGCCTTTCATTTGAAAATCGGCGGTTTTAATAAACACACTCAAATCGCTCAGTGTTTTTTTATAAAATAATTTATGTCAGACTTTATAATTTATTGTAAACTAGGTAGGTATAAGTTGTACTTTGTCCTAATGTAAAGTGTTATGAACTTTCCGATATATGTATGTAAACTAGTGGTGTATAGCATCGTGCAAAATGTTCGAGGAATATTAAAAGTTTTTAAATAGATTATTATAAATTCTGTAATATTGTCAAATATTTATAAAAATTATATATACTGAATTACATTGTTAAAATTATTCACATAAAATATATAAGTGAGCTTTAGAACTTCAACCAGAATTGAAATTGAATTGAAATTATTTTCGATAAACAAAAAAAAATTTTTTTTGAAAGAAAAAATTGAAATATTTTTTTTTCCAAAGCAATTGTTTCGTCAACACAAGCAGAAAGTTTTTTGAATTATTCAAATCGGATGCTTATTTCTCTCAAAAACTGCCATTTTTTGTTCGGTATCTTCAAAATGGCTGAACCTGTCTCTGCCAAAAACTAATCACCACTTCTCCCAATCATTACAAATTGAATGTTTTTTAGAACATTCAAATGGGATGCTCCATTCTCTCAAAAACTCGATTTCTATTTTTTGCACACTTTGCTCTTTATCTCCTTAACGGCTGTACCTGCTTTTGCCAAAAACTCATCAGAACATCTTCCTATCAATAGGAATCGAATGTTTTTCGAATCATCCAAATCGGTTAATCCGTGCGCCCGAAAACGTGGACGAAAAAATGCGGACATACAAAACACACACACACATCCATTTTTTTCTGAGGCATGCCAAAATGTTCAGAAACCTTCAAAACCTTCAAATTTTCATTTTCGATTTTCGGCCCATTACTATGGGAAGTTAATAATGCGGAAAAGTTAATAATTAATATAATCAATAAATATTTGATTTGTGTATAATCTACCTGTCTAACATTCCACTCGTTATAATAATGGGTAGTACTGCCCTAAGGAATCCGGTCTGTAAACTGAGTTAAACTGAGAGAGTTTTTCCCATTTCCATTTCACACCGCTTCAAGTACACTCGTATACCTGTTTAAATGACTATCTGCCTAAGTTATTGATTTTTCTGCTTTTGTACCTGCCTACCTGTCCACCTGTTTACCAGTCTACCTGCTCTACATGACTACCTGTTAATCTGTTTATATATCAATCCTATTTTTTCTTATATTTCAATATTTCTACATATATATGAATCAATAAAAATGATTTGTTTAATGACCATTTTAGACCACCAAATGTTATTTTTTTGACTCCGGAACCGCTGCACCTGCCTTCGCAAAAATGTAATCAATTTTTCGCTCTGTTAATACAAGTAAAATGTTGTTTGAATCATTGAAATTGGATGCTCCGTACTATCAAAAACTAAAATTTTTTGGTCTTTTTTCTCAGTACCTCCAAACGACTGGATCTGCCTTTGCCAAAAACTAATCAGCACCTCTCCCCATGAATAGGATTCCAATGTTTTTTTAATCATTTGAATCCTATGCCAAAATGTTCAGGAGATTTATACACACTAGTCATACACCACTAGTGTTTCAAATACAGACAATGCCATACACCACTAGTGTTTCAAATATTTACTTACTCAATTTCATTTTTTTTTTTGAAAAAAGTTGTATTTTAATAAAAAAAATTAATAATTAAAAATCAAGTGTAAAACAGTCTCTACAAAACTAAAGCCGGCATCACATTCTTCTGACGCCATGAAAAGTCATAATCAAACGTCATATAAAAAATGTCAAGTGTCAATACGGCCTTAAGCTAAAGCGCTTTACGGACTATGCAACTCCAGTATAACTATAAGTAACTGTCATATTTAAAATGTCAAGTGTTGATACGGCCCATTTTTATATTAGATTTTTTTGCGATTACTATAACTTTACCTCACGGGAATTTAAAAAACTAATGTTATGCGTAATGTAAATCAGTATTACCTCCGTGTATATGAATACTAGGGTTTAATAATAATTTCAAGCATATGATATGTATGGTATACTTTATTGGTGCGTTCTCAAAGGAGCAATCAATAACTATTTAAATATTTCAAAATCTACTCGATTTTGGTTATCAACATAAATTGAACAATTCTTTTAGTTTTTTTTTACCAAAAATGGCTATGCTTTCTTATTCATATTATATCCCTTTACTAAGAATAAAATTCGAAGTTTTTTACACACTTTGCTGTGTTATTATACAGGGTCCAGCAGAAATAATGGATTAATTTCCAAAAACTGTAAATAATAAATAACGATATTAACCAAAAGTTTGTGCATTGCTAAATGTTTACAGCATAGTAATATTTAAATAAGTTTATTTGTGAAAAATAATCTTCCAAATGTTTTCCCTTGCTTGCTGCAAGTTAGGAGATAATCACGTGTTGTCATTTCAGGTGGCATCTTTGCCATTTCTGCTCTGATTGCATTTTTAAGGCGTAGATGGTTTGAAGATAATTCGTGTACACTCATTTTCTTCAGGATGGCCCATAGAAAAAAATCGCATGGGGTTAAAATCAGGCGAGAACGATGGCCTGACATTGCTGATTGCGGTGTAAAATAATGCGACCATGAAACATCTGATTTGACTTGATCTGAGCGAAGTGGCTACTTCTTGTTGAAACCATATCTCACCGTTGGGTTGCTCCAATTAAGGTTGCACAAAGGTCCGTCACATTTGAACATAACGAACGGATGTCACTGTAACAGCTGTACCATTCTCTTCATACAGGTATGGTTTCCATCTTCCAAATACAGACGCCATCGGAGCATTTACACGTTTTTGAAAATAAAGATTACTAAAACTTTATTAATTGTGGTCGTCGGAAATCCATCCATTATTTCTACCGGACACTGATTATTAAAACATTTTAATAACACAAAAGAAAATAAAAATAAAAGCAAGGATGTATTAAAATATGAAAAACCATTCAGTACACTAACAACTAAAAATAGGGCAAATTTAAATGAATTTCAAATTTTGCTATTACAATCAAAATATATTCACAATTTTAGATACATCATTGACGGCGCCTCCATCTCGTACATACATTTACAATAATAATTTGTACTGTGTATTATTATATTTTCACGGTAAAATAGTAGTGTTTCCACTAGTTTGTGTATATTTTCTATCACAGTAGTGAAAGTTCATTTATTATTGACATTTCAATTCATTTGTTATTGACAACATTACAAAAACCTCTAATGACTAATCTATCAAGATCACATATGTATATGTATGTAATATATATACTGTTTTTTCATCAGACATACATTCAGTTTTCAATAAGAAAAACTAATAAGGTTTAAAGAATATATAGCAAAGGTTCCATACGTTTCGACACCCGGTTTGACTTTTTTTAGTAATTAAATTGCACAAAAACCATACAGAATGAACAAAAGTCTTAATTAATGCCTATTTATGAAAAAAATTATAAATTTGATTTGAAAAAATTGAATTAAAATTAAATGTATAACGAACAACCATATTGAATTTTGTAAAAAAATAAAATAATTGTTCTACACTACTCAATATGGTATTTGTTTATATTTATTGTTAGTTTTAGTATCATTTTTATAAATAAATATATATTTCTATGCCAAAGATATAACTGTTAAACAAGTCTCTTGTTCATTGTGAGTGCCTTTTGAATTTTTTTAAAAAATAATTTAGTGTGGTGAGTTTGATCTTTATTTTATTTTATTTTATTTTTATTTTTAGTTATCTATTATTTTAGGTGATAGTTTTGCACACTTTTTAATTATATTTTAATAAACTAAAATTAGCTTTGCCGTACTATATCGTAATTTTTGTTGAATATTATTTAAATTTTAGATATTACTTAGTTTTTCTTCTTAATAACTGGATGGATGGAACTTTTTTGTTCATTATATATATATATATATATATATATATATATATATATATATATATATATATACATATTCATACACATATTGCACATGCATCGTTCTGCATCTACATCAGTTTGAAGGACTTAACGTTAAAATAATTCTAAAATTGATATGATTGGGAATGAAATTCTATAAATATAGATATAAAATTACTTTATAGAAAACCAGATATAATTAGAAAATAAATAACATGAATGTATAATATATATATACTTCGTGCGTAATCTTTTATTTACAGATTGTATATAATTTTATATCCAAAATATAAATGATACAAAACTAAACTAGATCATTAACAAAATTATCCTACTTCAATTTATTTATTGCTATATGTTTTGTGGCATAAATTTTTATGAAATATTAATAAACTGCAACTAAAGGACAACAGTAAAAAATATTACAAAAATTATATTTAAAAAAAAATTCATAAGATAGCAAATGACAAATAATACCAAATTACTATAAATATTCAATTCAAACCACACTTTCATATGCTTCTTTAGACATCACCACTTAATATTAATATTAAACTCATATCACCAATATTATAACTATGTCATTTGAGTATTAATTATAAATAATTTATCTTAAACGTTAATAAAGTACATCACAAGTGCTTAATCATATCGAATTACTAACATCTATATGACGCTGCATCCATTCATCTTCCAAAATTCAAAATTTATAAATATTAAATTTATATGATTGTACTTGAACACATCAATGCGATTGATGGGTATCCCCATTGATGACAACTGAAAAATGCTTAAAATGAATATTTGTTGAAAATAATTTTTATTTACCGATGTGAGTTCAAATAAGTGAATTACGAATATGTGGTGGTCCTTCTTCAACGATTATTTTTGAAAATAAAAATTATAATCATATGGAATCTATCAATTGAAAAACATTTTAAATA